TCAGACGCCGGCGGGTACCATTTTCTGGTCAAATTACGTCATCTTTAAAAATGAATTGATATCAGTCGTTATCAGACTACTTAAGAAAGATCATGCAAACCAATGTGGTTACTGAATGGACGTCAACGCGGAGTAGTTGTTTATTTGATTCAATGGGAAAGGCGGGGTGAAAAAGATGTTGGGCAACTAAGTTACGCAGTCTTTTCGTGGCAATTAGTTCAACAAAAGGAAAGGTTCTAAACGCAGAGCGGATACATATATTACTAGCAAGTCCCAGGTCTCACTCCCAACGCACTTTTAAGATTAAAATTGTACTCTATTCATCACATTACGCCGAATGCTGTTCGATCTTATCAAGATAGTTGCATTTTCTTGTATACTTTCTATAACACATAGTACACACCCTCATTTTCAAGTACTTTTTAATAAATGCGTTAAATTATGCCTATACAAATGTGAGCAGTTCACGCAGAATTTGAGATAGATTAGTCAGATGCAAAAAACAGCGCAGAAAATATAAAAAGCCGAGCAAAGCCGGGTATGCCAGCTAGTGTTTAATAATTATGAAGCATTTTTGCTAGCACCTTGTGTTCTTAAGTAAGCAATTTACAATATCAATCGGATTTGTGCTTGTTCTATATATGAAGCAAGTTAAAAAGAAGTTTGCATGCGCATAATAATTCCTTTGAATGACTTTCTTGAAAAACTTGTAAAATCCGAATAGTTGTAATGAAAACTTGTCAAATGGCATCTTAAATCATCATCATTATATGCTTCTATGATTGCAGTGGCAAGCACACCCTTAATTCCCAAGGAAACTCTAGAGATCAAGGGGTCGCATTTAAAAGCTTAAATCGTATCCATGCAAAACATACTGGCATATTGATTCAAATTTTGACTGCACTAATATTTCTCTTGTTTGCATGTATTCCAATACAGGTTAATTAAATTACTAAAGTCAACAGAACCTTAGTTAGTCTTCTCTGCTCCAATCGAAAAATGTGCGCGATCATTAACCCCTGCTTTTCAGGGATACCGTACTCAACGGAAGCGCTTTGCAGAGATGGCCTAAACTT